AACTACCAGTCCTTCATCACCTTACACGAAATAGGGGGAATACATCTCATATTACAATACTCAAACCATAAGACAGTCCAGAAATTATGGGAAATATTCGTGTTTTAGTTTAGGGACACTAAGTCTCAATTTAAAGCTTTAGTAAGATGAAAGTATGCTCGTCTGGGAAACTAGGACATTGTGTGATATAATCTTGTTTATATCTGGCCTATTTCTATGAGTGCATTTATATTTATATAATTATATCCATATCATAAATTAGACTATTTAAAAAAATCTTTTCTGCTACTTAGGGTTTTTAATTCATATTATAAATACTTTTTTGCCCTTTATTTGGAATCTTGTTTTTTCAATTTCCGTTCTTAACTTCTGTTTTTTAGGTAGTCTTATTCTTCCTGGCCAAACCTGCGCACGTCCCTTCATCTGCCAGCTAAGTGACTTGCCCCGTGTCTCCGTTGCATCAGCTGGATTTAATATCTTCAAGTTTGTTGTTAATCCGGCAAATCAAGCTATGTTTGCCGTTTGTGGTGTTCGGGTGAGTAGTCAGCTCTCGGTAAAAAAAAGCTCTTAAGACTTCTACACATGTCGCCTATGTTCATTTCAAGTAAATGCATGCTATAGTCTCGGTCACTTAAATTTTTGCAGAATGCGATGTGCATTAGGCAACATTTAAGATATGTTGGGAGCTCAAATATTATTTTCCTTCTACATTCGACTTAGATGACTCGAGTTCTTTTTGATACCTTATGCTAGTTTCTAAACATACTCATTTATTATTTAGTAATTTCGGGTGCTGATGAAGCCTAAACTCAGTCGAAACTATAGTCCACTTTGAATGGAATACCTTTTGGAAAGATGAGGCTATGTAAAAAACAATGGAACCACGAGGCCTAATCATATAATTATAGGAAACTTCAACTACTATTCCTACATCACCTTAAACAAAATAGTAGTAATGCAGCTCTTATATAATGTCAAATTGCATTCATTAACACCAGGCCTACTTAACTGATTATGGAAAATAAAAGCACCAGTCCTTTCATCAACTAAAGCATCCCTGAATGACTTGTTTTTTTTACTTTCATTTACGGCTTTTTTAAATATATAGCATTTTAAAATAAATATTAGAAAAAAATTTCTTCCTACCACTGACTCGGATTTTTTCTTCGAGATATTTTATTGTTTTTGTTCCTTGTCTTCTATGTCTACGGTTGGCTTTATCTGTTGAGTTTTCCCCTACAAAATCTACTTCAGTTTTGACCACTTCACTTCCCTAAATAATACCGAAATAGCAGAGGCATGTCATTACAGATTTTCTTTACACTCTAGATTTATATCATGCTCCCGCCCCTCTAGGACTGCGTTGTTCTTGGCATCACTAGCCGAGGCCAAGTATGTGGGCGCGTCTCCATCTCCCCTGGGCTAGATGACAAGGGCGAACAGTTGATAAAGCCGTTCTGGTTACCTGATTCCAAGCGACACTTGGCTCTCCTGACTACACATTCGGTCCAGGTGAGATCTTTTTCCGATAAACCATTCTTTATTTTAGATTTCTTCCATTAATTTTCCAGCTACTTACCAGGATACTTACTTTACTCTTTGTATACTGTTTAGTATTAATCTTCTGGCTGTTATTAGCCTATTAAAGCACGAATAAAAATGAACTAAAATACTTTGGTTGCGCATTTATGCATGTGTCCATGATGTTTAGCTTTCAGACCTGGTAAAACTATACAAACATGCTTAAATAAGTCAGAAATCAAAAATAGCGGCAATGGTACTATGAGTACTGCAATATGATTTGATTTGATGATTGTACCGTGTTCACACATTGATCGCTACCTTAAGCGATCAGGGCAAGTAGATTAGTTTGATTTATCATCCACACTCGATCTTGCGATATGATTTAATCATGGAGTTTTAATCTTTTACAATGCAGCCTATTGATATTCTTATTTTTACGCAGATCCCTATCTTGTTATATAGTCCATAGTTCTTATCTTACTTAATCTCAACTTATTTCTTCATGGATTTGCACTTTTTTAATATTTGTATACGCTTTTGCTTAGTTTGGCACTTGAGTTATATGCTATTTAATAATTGACTTTTTTCGTCACTTTCTCTTATTCTTTTTTCAAAAGTGAAATTATTAAATGCATATATCTTTTTGAAGGGTTCATTTAAGTGACTATTTGAATAAGTCTGTTTTAGTCTGATTTTTTTTACTAACTTTACACAAGGCCCTCTTTATTCATTGCGTGTTGATACTTGTTGTTTAAAACTAAGAACGTATTCAGTCAACGGACCTATGTAGTGGACGACTACGCGTTTACATTATCATAGAAGGTGGAAATTAGGCCCTTATTGGGACACCTTTGATGGGAAAAGGGTATATGGCAATATGAACGATGACTCATGGAATTGTCAAAATGTCTTTCATTTATCTTAGGAGAAGTTTTTTATCATTTTATATAAGTAAACTTTATTCTCTATATTTTTAAATTTTGTTTCATCATATCAAATATGGAATAGACTTTGAA